CCTTGCAGACTATGTAGTGTTTATGAAGCAAGTACATTAAAGGATTATAAATATTTAGTTTCTACTGTTGTTATGCAATGAAAGAAATTCCAAAGATGCAAAGATAGTTAGTGGGAACATGAAAGAAAGCCGTCAGACCTGGAAGCCATCTTTTACATTTGGACCTTCAGGTCTGCTTGACCGTCAACTCTTTGAGCCAGGCACCCAGCTGGCATTCCTTTCTGCTGCTTCTTCATCTTCTACCAGGCTTGGGAAGGGGAGTAGATGGCTCCTCATTGATAGAAAATAGGAACTATGGAATTAAATCAAAGAGGTTGTTAAGAATATATGTAAAAGAAACAGCCAACAACCAAGGAACAGAAGAAAGCAAATGGGATATTCAAATTAATTGTAGAAATTATCAAGAAGAGAAATTGTTACGAAGCCAAAAGCAATGTATGATTCAGGTGTGCCTTCCACCCCAAGGTATCTAAATGTTCTAACCTGTTCCAAACTATGTCCTTCTATTTTCCAGGAGTATTGGCTAGGTCTTTTAGCAAAAACTAAAAGAAAAATATTTATCAAAGCTAAGAACCAGCTTGCTTTGCCTACAATAGCGGAGTGTTGCCCTAATTGCTCTCTTCTACAGGAGTTTGTGAAATAATAGCATCAGCATCAGCATATAAGAGAATCAGAATTTTGTGTTGTGCTAGGTTAGGAGGATGGAGATCAGGGTTCTGTAAGAGATCGATCAGAGGATTGATATAGAAGTTAAAGAGAGAGGGGGACAGGATGCAACCCTGCCATACCCTTTTTTGTGCCCTTACTGGGTCGGTTAAACTCCCTTGAGAATTGCATCTCACTTTCAAGGTGGAATTGGCATACAATTTTTGTAAGAGGAAGACGAGGTGTTTATCGATAGTGATGCATTTTAATTTCTCCCAGAGGGTGATTCTGGATGTTGAATCAAAAGCCTGCTTAAAATCAAGGAAGGCCACAAAAAGAGAGGATTTTTTTTTATATACATGTATTTTTGTACTAAATGGTGGAGTACCAAGATATGATCCACTGTAGATCTTCCTTCTCTAAAACCGGCTTTTTTGTCTTTGATTATCTCCCCTGAAATTAGCCAAACCTGAAGTTTATAGTTTAGGTGTTTGGCATACAGTTTACTAATAATAATCAGAAGACTAATAGATCTATAATTGCCTAGGTCATTTCTATTACCTTTTTATAAATTGGAATGATAATTGCTACTCTCCAATCTCTTGGCATATGACCTGCTTTATCTATAAATGTAAAAAGTGATGCTAAAAGTGGAGCCCACCAACTGGCGTTCTTTTGATTATTTCTGGCAGGACATTATCAGCCCCAGGTGCCATATTAGCCTTTAGGGCTCAGATCAACCGGGATATCTCTTCTGGTGTAACAGGGGGCCAGTAAGGAGTTTGGTCCAAACTAGTTTGGCTCTCCTTGGTTACATAGTCAGAATCTGTATAAATAAGGTGACCTGACGTCCCGATTTCAGCGGGACAATCATGCTTTATAACAATTTGTCCCGTGTCCCCCGGGGCGTTTTAAAAAAGTCCCGATTTTCTGGCTTCATGTTGAAAGCCCAGTGGATTTGCTTAAGAAATCCTAAC